TTCACAGAGACAGTAGACAAGGGCCATTGTAGTTTAATTAAGAGCATGTGCTTTGGGATCTGGCCGCGTGCGCCCAGGCCCTGTTTAGCTATTTATTAACCTTGTGATTTTGGGAGCAGTATCCGCGATGTCTCTCAGTTGTCCCATCCCTTAAAATAGGGACAATAATATAATCATGCAGAATAAAAGAGTAACACAGTTGTGGTCAGGATTAAATATATTTACAGAGCTAAGCTCTGTGCTTGACACAATGAACCAGTAAATGTCAGTTATCATTAATAAAAATTAATTGACCATCTACTGTGGGTCTGGCTATGATTCAAAAACTTGCCTTCTGTGTACAAAGAAAAAAAATTCTGTTAATAAAGACCGTAACACTTTTGCCTTTAAACTCTGTGATGTTGTTTTTATTTTGTTTATTTTTTTGATTTGGGGTCTCACTGACGCCCAGGCTGGAGTGCAGTAGTATAATCACTGCTCACCATGACCTTGACCTCCTGGGCCCAGGCGATCTTCCCACTTCAGCCTCCAAAGTAGCTGGGACTACAAGTGTGCACCACCATGCCCAGGATTTTTTTATTTTTATTTTTTGGTAGAGATGAGGTCTCGCTGTGTTGCCTAGGCTGGTCTCGAACTCCTGAGCTCAAGCAGTCCTCCTGTATCAACCTCCCAAATGCTGGGATCACAGACATGAGCCACCATGCTTGTCCTATTTTGTTTGCCTGCCAAACTTGCTCACATTTTTTAAGACTTTCTGCTCTAGGAAGCGCCTTTGTATTTCCTTTCTGCTATTAAATTAGATACTGTCTCCTCTGTTTCCTTTCTTCTGCTGCTTTCTTATAACATTTATGACTCTGGACATTTTCATTCAGCTGTGCATCTTTAGACTGAGGGTAGGGTCTTTGTCTGAATTCATTTAGCATTTTCTAGTAAATGGTACAATAAGAGATTCGATTGTTGAATAAATGCATGAACTCAACCTGTTGGGATGGACATGGTAGCGTTTTTGCATTAATATTACATGGTATTTGTTACTTAGAAAGCTGCTTACCTGGTGGACATTGTTTTCCATAACAGCAGTTTGATCCAGCACTCACCATGTGCCTAACGGCTTGACAAATAGTTGTTAAACCTTCACAGCCACCCTATGTGGGAAGTACTCTCATTATACCCATGATACCAATAGGGAGACTGAGGCCAGATTGGCTCAATAGCTTAGTCAAAGTCATGTTTAGCTAACAAGTGGATTTGGATCCAGGGACTTTGATGCCAGGATCCCTCTTCTAATTTATCTGCCTCTCCTGTTCATGCATGGAGGAACTGGTTATCCTGTCACTGGATTAAGTGTGCATTTGCTCAAAGCACTGTATGCAAGGTGGATAAAAAAAGTCTTGGGTGTAGTTGTTGCATTATCCATCTTGATTTATTGTCATTTTCTTATGATGGCCGTACACTTTTAAGTGAATCCTTTGAAACTTTGATATAACAAGGTTGTACCCAATGGAGACAAAACAATGCTCAGCCCATTTAAAGGATGACTAGATGGTTATAATAATGTATCACATTAATGCATTTATTAAGTATTCCTTTGACGATGAACATTTCCCTTGTTAGAATTTAAATATTGGATCATTTCTTGCTGGGAGAAAAAGAGGTCAGATTTTCGAGGAGAGATCCATTTGGTGAGATGCTGAGTGTGTGTCAAGCTCAGGAGATAGTATGACATCTTTTTTAGAGTCTAGTCACAATTAAATGCCATTTTATTTTGGATTTTGGGCTCTGTGCCAGCTTCCAGCTTGTCAGAGCTGAGAAGACTCAAATCAAGTCCAGGCCTATTTCTACAGCAAACTGGGATTCTGGCTTCTTGCCTGTGGATTCATTCAGTACAGCCCATCTGGCTTTTGATGTTCTGCAAGTTTGGAGCAGTTTGTTTAAGGAAGCCAGGCGGTGAATATTGGTGGGCCTGGGGTTCTTTTGACTCCAGAGGGGCGCCTCTAAGGTTTGCATTTTCACCCTACCCGTCATCTGTGCACCTGGGACCCAGCGGCTAGGGGTCCTTCACAAGCTCATCTTCATTTGCTTCAGAACTCAGGGCCCCAGCGCCTCTCCGGACCTCCTCCTCGTCCGATTCACTTCCGTTTAGTTCTCAGTAGCTGCTTGCTTGTTTGAATTACTTAATAGCATTTAACTTCTGGGGTGTTTTGGGTTTTGGTCAAGGTAATTCCAGGCTGCGTGTGGTGACTGAGCAGGAAGTAAGATACGTGGCCCACAAGGTTCCATCAGAGTGCTGTTACCATTTATATACGGTGCACAAGGTTTGGGGTGATCCATACTGAAAATCAGTCACCCCACCTGGCTCTGCTCCTTCTTGATGTCGGCAGATCAGCCCTGGCTGTTTGGTAGCCGGCTTTGTTTCTCTTCCCCTACTCTACCAGCTGTGGCGGAGCCCTGAGACTAGCAGCAAAATGTCTCCTGTCATCCGCCCACTGCAGACCTAGCCCTGACCCCTCCTGGAACCCAGGAAGGAGAACGTGTCTAGGAGACAGCCATTTAGTTGCTTGTAAAGCAGTCACACGCAATCTCATAAATTGTGTTGCTAGACCGCGCACGGCGGCTCATTCCTGTAATCCCAGTACTTTGGGAGGTCGGTCTGGGAGGATCCCTTGAATCCAGAACTTCGAGTCCAGCCTGGGCAACATGGCAAGACCTCATCTCTACAAAAAAAAACCCCAAAAATTAGCCAGGCATGGTGGTACGCTCTTGTAGTCCCAGCTACTCAGAAGACTGAGGCAGAAGGATCACCTTAGCCCAAGAGGATGAGGCTATGGTGAGCCATGATCATGCTAGAGTTCTCCAGTCTGGGCAACAGAGTGAGGTCCCCAACTCAAAATAATATTATTAATGATAATAAATTGTGTTGCTAGGTTAATTACTGGGAAGGAGAATCTCTTATATCAAGAGAGAACTAAGTTTTATCTCATCCCGTGCCTCACTTGTTAATTCATTTATTCTTTAATTTCACAAACACATATTGAGCACCCAATATATGCAAGGCATTTGGTAGGAGATAGGGGATCCCACAATAAACAAAAAAGAGGCAATCCTAGAGAAGCAGGAATGGGGACCCCAAGCTGGCCATATGCCTTCCCTAGCAAAAAAGAGAGGGTCCATCTTTTTTTTTTTCCTTTCTTTCATTACTTTGGTAGATTTTTAGGGAGATGTTTCATTTTAATAAAACATGGGTGAATCATTTTCTAAGGAGGTAAAATTCTTTATAGTTAGGGAAAAAAATGTGATGGTAGGAATGAAAGAGAGAGGGTAGGCTGATATAAAAGACAGACCCCCCCCCACTCTAGAATGCCATATTGCTATGCACTGTGCTATGTCTTAATTCCATTTCTTGGAGTTTTCTCAATGCCAGGCCATTCCTTGGATGATTTATGAACACCTTTCATCTCTGTGATTTCCCCCACTCAGGTAAATGAGCAAATGGGTCCGAACACTTTTATCTAACACAGGAGAGAACCAGCTGGAAGAGCCCTTTGAATTTCTTTCTCTATGAAAACCATTTTTCTTTCGGGTGCCTCGCCTATAAATAACAAGGGTTCCACCTTCCTTTATAGACTTTTGCTAAAAGCGTGGTTTGGAACAAGACTGTACAGGTGCAAACAAATTACAGTTGGGAAAGAAGCCTGCCCTGCCTCCTGTCTCCGCGGGTTATGAAATCCTCCTCTCAGGAGTGGAGCCGCCGTGGCCGACCAGCAGGATGGAGCTTGGCATTTGTGAGATCATGCGCCTCCTCACTTTCCCACTGTGCCTTCCAGCATCCAGCCTTGCTCCGTCCATCCCCAAAGGTGGCTCTCTCTAGCTACAGCATTCATGGGATGATTTTTATTCTCGAAAGTGGTGCTTGTGGTGGAGTATTAGATTCATTGCATAAAATAAAGACCCCTATTTTTTTGTTTTGATTTGCATCTCTCATTTCATGGCAGAGATTTAACTAAGTCTCTGTTAACTTGTGAAAAGAAAAAAACAAAGCTATCTGTGCATCACCCACTTAAAATTTGACTTATAGAGGATTACTGTACTTGTAGATATATTTTTCAAGCTTAGTCTATTAGAGACACACCTGTCTGTGAACTGGAGGTTTTTATGAAAGTAAAAATCATGTCACAGATAAAAATGAAATAAATGCTTGTGTTATCTTTCTGGAAAAAATAAAAATGTTTAAACTGAGAATAAATATTATCTTTGGCAACTTAAAATAAAATTTACTTTAGCCACTCGTGTTTTGAGCATTATATCACAAATAAAAAACAAGATTAACATCAAAAGGAGTCAGTTTTCACTCAATTGAGCAGCATTGTAGGCTGTGAAATTTAATATTATTTTGACTCGTACAGTAATTGTAGAATGACAGAGGAAAATGGATTAAGTTGAAATAAAAGTCTACACCACAGCACACTCAGACTCTATCAAATGCAAGTTCAGGTCATTGCGCCGGGAACCGAGCTCTCTAGCTCTGTCATTGCAGATTAAAATCTGATAAATAAAACTTTCCTGGAGACTGTAGTTTATTATTATTTTTTTTGAAATGCATGCATAGACAAAGAGGCACAAATCTGCCTCACCTTGAAGAGTTGCTGGACTGGTTTGGGTGCCTATCAGCCCGACATGCATTTGAATTTCTGGTCTCCTAGTCTTTCCTTTTCTTGAAAAGATTTTGCTTGTCATGGTGTGAAGTTTGAAATGTACACACCCGCCTCTGCTCTTTGCTCTCGGATTTAGAACACGTTAATGGTTCCAAATTGTACAGCCTGCTTTTAGGCCTCTGTTCTTCTTGAATCAATCAGGTTCGTGTTGCAGGTGGTATTTGTTTTAGGAACGTGTGAAAGAGAGGGTCCCTGCGAAAACAGGCAATTGTTCCAACACACGTACGCATTTGAATTAAGGCAGAAAGTGTCCATGAAACCCTCCAGCGACTATCTCGTTTCTTGCAGGTTTAAGGCCACCGAGAAGACGGGGTGTGCTCACTGGAAGTTTGACGGTTACTCTAAGCAGCAGTGTCTGGTGGCTGAGTTCTGTGTCAACCGGACACCCCGCCTGCACCCCACTCTTTCTCTGGTTTCAGAATTAGTCTGTGGAGAAACTTGTTCTGATGTTAAAGTGCAAAAGGGGGCAGTAAAGTGCTATCCACAAAAAAGGGGAAAAAAATCTCCCGAGTGTTTCTTATTGTTGCCTGTGTCTTTCTTGGGCCCTGCTTTTATTTATTAATTTTGGAACAAAACTCTTCTGTTTGGGGCTTCGAGAGGATCTCTCATTAAACTAGAGCAGCAATCTAGCATTAAATGGAAGCCATGCAAGACCAAATATCCTGTCTGCTTATGAAATGTGCCGTCAAATTCACATGCTCACGATGCGAAGTCATTCTTTGGGGGGTGGGGGGAGTAATCCCACGTGCACAGAGTACTTTGGAAAGGATCTTGATCTTCTGTGTTCATGCTGTGCAGTTTCCACATAGGCCTGGCAGGCCCAGAGGGCATGGGGCCTACGGGTCAAGGGCTGGGGCTTACCCAGAGCAGCCTCCATCCTTTGTCACCCTGACCAATGTCACCAGAACGGCAGAGTGGGTGTACCTCATTCAGAATCTCAGACTCACCAATTTACATACTGACTTCTTTGCTGCAGCCTTTGGCATTGAATTAAAATAAAAATTAAGGCATCTCACGGAAAAAGTGCATGTTCCAAAATGAGGTGGACACAAAGTGTACCTAATACAGAATACAGAACACTGGCTAGGGAATAAACCTATTTATTATAGGCTTTCTGGTTTGTTCACTGCTAGGCAGAGCCTTGTTCTAAAGCCTGGGATTCAGAGTCTTTGAAATGTTTGTGCGGTTCACTGACGAAGCATCAATTGTCTGTGTTCCATATTTTACCCTTGTCTGAATACCCGAGCTGTATGTTACTACAGCTTTTGTGGACTTAGGAGTGGGCTTATTAAATAGGCCACAATTCAGACTCTCATCATTTTATTTATTTGCTTTCCAAGGAATTGCATCAAAAAGTTTTAAAATCCACAGCCATTAAATATTTTAAATGTTCACTTTAAAAAATTATGAAAAATAGTACAGCTCTTTTTGAAATCATACATTAAAAAATGTTTTAATCTGATCATGAAAGCATTGGCTGTTTATGGCAGAGAATTTTGAAAAGCAGAAAGCTAGAAATCACTCTTAAGCCCACCGTTCAAGAGCCTAAAGCTATAGACCCTGTGTGTGACCATCTGTTTGTGTTTATCTCTGTGTAGTCAGCAAAAAACAGAAGAACATACCATATATTTTACTTATTTTTTTTCAGTTGAAATTAACCATCTACTTGCAGTGATCACATATTCTTTTTTTTTTTTTTTGAGTTGGATTCTCACTCCGCCACCCAGGCTAGAGTGCAGTGGCACACTCATGGACACCCCAGCATCGACCTGCTGGGCTGTGGCGATCCTTCCGCCTCGGTCTTCCAAGTAACCATAACTACAGGTGTGTGCTACTACGCCCGACTAATTTTTTAAAGATTTATTGTGGAGATGAGGTCTCGCCAAGTTGCCCGGGCTGGCCTCGAAACTGTGGGCTCAGGCGAGCCACTGAACCCAGCCTGATCACATATTCTAATGGTATAATTTTGAAGCGAAAGGAAACATCAAATGAATTCTTTGTGGAAAAGTCCTGAATATTCCCTTGGGAGTCTCATTTTGCTTGGCAATTTGTTTCAGAGTAGAACTTTATGTGGTCTCCTGTTCCCACACCCTCACTTGCCCAAGTCCCAGAGTATATGGCAGGGTTCGCCTTGCTCTGCTCCATAAGGAATGTGGCCCCATTCCTCAGGTGCCTGACACCTGCCATAATTACACAGACCTTTAAAATATTTTACTTAAATGGGTTTTTATGTGTATAAGATTAGAAATGGCTCTGGATTTGGTCTAACTTTTTTTTTTTTTTGGAGTCGGAGTCTCACTCTGTTGCCCAGGTTAGAGTGTGGTGGCACACTCACAGCCACCACAGCCTCCGTCTGCTGGGCTCCGGTGATCCTTCCGCCTCAGTCTTCCAAGTCCCTGGAACTACAGGCACGCGCCCCTGCACCCGGCTAGTTTTCTGATTTATTGTAGAGATGAGGTCTCATCAGTTTGCCCAGGCTGGTCTAGAACCCCTGGGCTCAGGCGATCTTCTCACCTCCACCTCTCAAAGTGCTGGGATGGCAGGTGTAAGCCACTGCACCAGGCCAATCTGATGTTTTTTTAAATAGAAACTTCCATGTAGCATTTCCAAGAACCACTGTCATCATGTCTGTCTTGGGGAGGGGGTTTACCAGGCCTAGTTACTTCTTTGGACATGGAAGTGGGTAGTTCCTGTGAATCTCTTTTTGTTCCAACCTCTTTTTTCTGTGTCTGCTTAATGTTTTTGCATTCAGGGACTCAGTATCAACTTGCCCCTGTAACTGGCATATTCTTCAGTCCCTCAACTCTGAGGATCTAACACTTCCCTGAGGAGAAGCCCAGGTCACTTTTATCATGTGTATGTTCACAGATAACGCCAGCATCGAGTGGCCACTCCACCACATGGGTTTGCTTCTCGGTTAACCTGCGTGCTTTGGCCAGGAAGTGTGTTGGAAGTGATCAGGTGTTTGTGCGGAGGTGAATGTGGTATGGTCAGTGAGGGGAGGGAATCAGGAAAAAAAAAACGGCATCCATGGGAGGGAAAGGGCAGTGGGAAGCGCAACTTTGGGCCCACCATGCATGTCACAGACGGATAGTGGATCCTCCCATGGGTCTTCCTGTTCCATTGGGCCAAGTACAAAACAGACCAGGCCGTCACTGTCTGCTTCCAAACTCCAGGCTCCCTGATGATGTCATGCTCGTCAGCAGAAAAACCCAGTCTTGACATCGTAATGTGCGGTGGGCGGGTCTACGGATGAAATCACATATGGTGACCTCCGAACTCTAAGTGACTGGTTTATGTTTCCAGTGTATGATGCCAGTGTCTCAAACAAGCATGTGTCCACAGTGTGGATGCAAACTTTCTGCTGTATTCTTTGTTTATGTTGCTGGGTTCCAATCCACTAAACGTTAGAGACTATTGTGTTGCAGAGTGACTGAAAAACAGTTTCTGCAAGTATGACTGTGAAGCGGAAGGGTCTAGTTGAAATTATTAGAGATCTAATTCAGATGGCTAAATAGTAAGGCCTAGTTGAGCTTATTAGATTTATCCAAATTATCCCATGTAGAAGTATTGACTTCTAGTTTGGTGGAAACCTTCAAAACTTGCATTCTGTTCCACAGGTAATCCATGGGCAAAAATAGATTCTAACATCAAATCATTCCACGGCAGGCCTGTTAGCTTTGGAAACCCTACTTGAGGGTTTTTCCATGTTATACTGTCTCTGTAACTGATCGATAGACGCCCTCAAAGTGAGGGCATCTATTGTCTTGTTTGGGAATGATTCACTGGGAAAAACCATAGGAGTTGCCTGTTTTTTCCTAGCGTGCCCCACTCTTATGATGACTTTCCATGGCTCCAGGAAGGGTCTCTAGTGAAAATGCAGGAAGCCACAGTACCATGGCTCTAGAAGCTGTTCTGGGCCTAGGCATTCTTCCGGGGAGAGGAAAATGCAATTTTCTCCTTCCAGGAAGACAGTGAAATGACTGCCATGACTGTGAGTGGCCTGGTGCAGAAAGGGAGATGGCCTGGTTCTGGGTGCTCTCATCTCTGGTACGTGAATCACTATTGGTCATCTTTGTTTTTTCATTTTGGATCGAAAGTCAGCATATCTTATTTTAAATGACACCTCTCTCTAACCACTTTCTGTCTGGGTGGTTAGCGGGCCTCCCCCGTGTGGTATAGGTTGTAGCTGTGGGTTCCCTCTGCTGTTTTTGGTTACAGGATGCATGGTATCTCAACACACAAAAGGAACCCTGCATTTGGCATCCCCTGCGGAAAGTCAGTTTAGTAATTTAAAATTAGCCTGTTGTCATCACCGGGATTCTTTTCGTTTTCACACTTTCAAAGTCAACATAGGATAAGTGTATTGTTGAATATGACAATGTTTTCAGGGTATAGTAGTCTGACTTAGAAAGGCTCTAAGCAGTCTAAAAGTAAAAGAATTCAAATTTAAACCCCCTAGCTTCGAAAACAGCACTCTGTGTTTGCTGACTTGATCGTAACTTGTAAGAATCATTGTTTTCCACCTTAGAAAATGGTAGTATTAGGAAACACGCCGCATTTGCTTTCTTCATACATTCTGTTGTTTGCATAATTGTCTGGCGTCCGTCTGTAATATTGCACTGAAAGCCCAGAACCTGCGTGATTGGCCTGTTACCTCCTCCTCTTCTGACTCCTGACCCACCACCTCAGAAGAAGCCGCTCTGCTTTAAGTCCGAGTGGTGTGTGCCCGGCCTGAAGCTCCATTCCCAGGGCTGCCCGTGTGATGTTCACAAGCCTGTGTGTGTATTGGCTTCCTCTTGGCTTTTCTGAACTTCATGGCTTATCTGTGAAAAGCCCTATTTATAAAAAAGTGTGTTTCACAAAACCAGATTTATGATTTAATGGGATGCGGCGGGAACTGAGAAGTGTGCAGAGAGAGAGGTCCCCTCTTGTTGTGTCTCCCGGGGCACCAGCCTGTCTTCACCTGTTGGCCTGTTCAGTCCGTGTGTTGTGCTTTAATGAAGAAAACGTGGTCAAGGGGCTTTGGACCATGCTTAGCCAAGAGTGATGCTCAAAAGCAGCTGTGTTTTTGTTATTAGTGGTTCTGGAAGTGGCTGGTTGCCTTGCATTTTAAATAGAGAAGGACTGTAGTAGGTTGCTCCTATGAATTTTTTCAGAGAAAAGGTCAGAAACTCCATCTGCAGGGCTGCTTGTTCTCCAGAGGCACCCCTGTGCCTGGGAGGACGTCTTATGGAAACCCTCTCCCCTTCTTGGGGAGCCCTTGCCCCAGCTCTGAGTGGCTCTGCCTTCAGAATTCCTGTCATGCCTGTGAGATGCAAATAGTTTGTGGTCCTTCGGTTGACTTCGGTTGGTGCAAATGTCAGCATCCATTTGCTCCTTCTTTTTTTTTTTTTCCCCCACCAAATACATTATTTATTGAGTATGTTAGTCCCTTGGGGTTTTTAATAGCAAATTAGACACACATGGGGTCTACCTGCCCTTAGGGAGCTAGATTATACATTCCTGGTGGTCAGTAGGTGGCTACTTTTCTGTCACTCAGAGCATCTGACACAAGACAGGCTGTAATCGTTACTCTCACAGCACTTGATTCACTACCAGGTTAGAAGCAGTCAATAAATTAAGTGATCACATGGGCAGCAGCACCCAATTACAGCCTGTCTACCAAGAAGCCGTAATCTCATCGATACAAGCAACTGGTGTGCTACCTGTTCTTGTTTTTTATTTTTTTAAATCTTCAGCTTCCATAATTTGATTAACCATACACACACATACATGCACATATGTGAGATATATATATATCACAAACTGCTAAAGCATTCAAATATTGGGTCTTTTATATTGATTTTAATTAAAGAAGCAATAATTGCTTTAATGAGCTATTTGAAACAAGTACCTTTTTAATTTTTATTTTTTGAGTTAAAGTCTCATTCTGTTGCCCAGGCTGGAGTGCAGTGGCACTCTCAGGGCTACTGAAGCCTCAACCTGCTGGGCTCAGGTGATCCTTCCACCTCAGCCTTCCAAGTAGCTGGAACCACAGACATGCGCCACCTCACCCAGCACCTCACCCAGCTCATTTTTTGATTTTTTGTAGAGAAGAGTTCTCACCAAGTTGCCCAGGCTGATCTTGAACCCCTGGACTCAGGCAGTCCTCTCACCTCCACCCCAAAGTGCTGGAATTACAGGCTTGAGCCACCGTGCTGCATACTCCCACCTCGCTTTTGGCCACATATATTCTGAAAGTTGGATTAAAACTTTGTGAAGCAATGAGAATGTGAGTTTCATCAGGCTGTACTTCTTATGAGCATATCAGATATGCACATTGCAATCTGAACCCTCCCCTCCCACACACCCTTCCATATTGATAAGTTCCCACACTCTCCCCCGTCACTGACCGCATTGTAGATTTTTAACAAAGCTGGACAGCACACACTGAATGAGAACTTTACATCAAGGAAGGCCTGGCTTGTTTGTGAAATGGATTAAATGATGTCTGTGATTGGTGCCTTCTGAAATTATGGCCTAAAACACAGAGCTCCACAAAGCCACAGCAGCACTCGTGTCGTGTGTTCTTGACCTTACCTTATCAGCACCAGCAAAAGCTGTCACTCAGTTTTGGTGAGTGAGGGCAGGGTCATGAGCAGTGACTTGCATGGGCAGGGAGAAACCTCCTGTGCATCTTTTGTTAGGCAGACAAAAAACAAAAAAAACAAAACAAAAATATATATATATATATATATATATATATATATATATTCTCATGAAGGAAAGGATCTCGGGAGCATTTTGAATGAAGAATTTCATGAGCCAGACTTTAGACATAGGGTGCGATGTGGGGGAGTTCTGAGGTTTGCATAGATGTACAGCTTGGGAGGGGGTGTGCTGCATCTTCAGAGAACTGAATGAATGGACGAGGAAGTGGATGCATCTGGCTTGGTAGGGACCCTGGGCTCTGGAGCCTGGGAAGCCCTCAGGGACTATAATTTAGGAATATTTTTGCTAGCAGTAGCTAACTGTTATATGGCATTGCTCTGTGCCATCTACAAAAGGAGCAGATTTAGGATAGAACATGTTTGGAGTGGGAATGGGAAACTCCAGGCAGGAATGGGCCCCTTGGTTTTGTGGACCTTGAAGATTTCCTTAAAAGGTCAAGGAATAAGACTAAGAAAAAGGAAGTGTCAGGAAGATGAGCAATTTCATGCTCACGGAATTTAGTTTGTACCAACTGCCTGGCACCTTGCTACTGGTTTTTAACCACAAGGAGTCGAAATCACTGGGGTGGAGGGGTGGGGAAATGAGTGAAGTCATTAATCTTGTCCGCAAACATTCTGATTCAGTCTGTTCCTTGAGACACTGAGTTGTGTTTTATCCACAAGGAAGATGAAATTGTCTGGAGAGGCTACCTTGGCAATGGAGAGGCTGGTTATCTTGGGGAAGCTGCCCAGTCCTCTGGAGTTGAATTTTGTAGAAATGTCTTTCCAGAAAACGGTGGGCAAAGAGGGTCACAGAGCGGTTCTAAGTGAGTGTGATCTCTATTTGTCAAAAGTTCTAGAGAATTCACACATGGTGGTTTTAAATTTATCACTGTAATAAAAACATTCATTTTGAGTTCTACTTCACAGCAAGATTTTATCTTAAATTATTCCCGTTCACTCTTTTTTTTTTTTTTTTGAATGAATGTCATATGTCCTTGCTAAAGGAATTCATTTTTTAAAAAAGGGACTGTTCTCTTTTGGGGGGTGGGTTGTGGAATAACACATTCCCAGGAAAGAGGAACAAGCCACTGTGTGCAACATTCACTTTTTTCTACCATAAAGAGTATTGATTTTTAATATGAATCAATATACCATTTCTGTTATATTTTGTGCTGCTTCGCAACCACCTACATGCACTATTCAGAAAATTAATGCCATTCATTAGCATAAATCATAAGCCATGACCTCAGTATGGATTTGGAATTGGGGGTGCCCATCATCCTTGCTATATCTTGGTGAATTCTGACCCTCTGGCCATCGCCGCTGGTGGGTGGCTCTGGTGAAAGAAAGGGTTGGATTGGAAGGGCTCAGAGGCAACGCTTTGTTCTTGGGCTTTAATATTTTAATGAGCCTACAGGCTTGGCTGCTTAGGAACGAGCTGGGATTTCTAAGTGTGTTGTTAGTATTAGCACTTGTAGAAGGTTGTTCATTAGGAAGCTCTTGTTTCAGTTTTTCAGAGAAACTCCCCATTAAGAAAGATCTTTCAGCAGCATGGCTAGTAAGAAAGAGAATAGGAGGAGGTAAGCTTTTAGCAGTGAGCATTAAGGGGATATTGTATCAGTAGTCTTGGTTCTAAAGATTCGCTTCTAAGAGTTAATTGGAGCAAATACATCTCAAGGGAAGGAAAAAAAAAAAGAATGCGTGGAGTAAGGACAGTAGTTGTTGTCCTTGCAAGTAGAGGACTCTTCATTTTGCAGCTGAATCAATACGAAGACTAATTATTTCTGGTTATCTTTTATGGGTTTGTAAGACATTTCTTTTGTTCAGTGTAATAAAAAAAAACCCATTGTTTGATCAGTGACTGACTAATTATGATAAGTAATTTGAAACATTCTTGATGAAACTTGTCTGTTAATTAACATCAACAGCAAATGGAAACTAACAGTACAACAAAGTATTAGTGGGTCCAAAGTTCCCTTGAATTGATGAGATTTCTCTGTGGCATGCCCAATAAACTAAAGCTGCCAATGGTTAAAAAATAACAAACATGTGGGAAGGTCTGACTCACCATGGAGGAAAAGTTATTGTAAAGTTACACAAAGGAGCACTGAAATATTACAAGCGAGGGGGTGGTAAGGCCAGCTGGAGCCTATGGCCTAGAGTAAGGAGAATGGTTTCTTTCTTTCTTTTTAAGTCTCAGGCTCATTCCAAAATACACCCATCCCCTAATGATCTGAACTAAGAAGCTTTTGATAAATTAAAGTGTGAATCTGAAAAAGTATCATTTGGGATTTGTGGCATTGTCTGGCTATATTGTAACTATCATGAATACTGTTAATTTTTATCAACTCAATGGCTTTTTTTTTATGCTTTTAGATTTCTACCTGGACAAGGACTGGTACTATACCCACAAATAGGAGACAAATTGGATATTATTTGCCCCAAAGTGGACTCTAAAACTGTTGGCCAGTATGAATATTATAAAGTTTACATGGTTGACAAGGACCAAGCAGATAGATGCACTATTAAGAAGGAAAATACTCCTCTCCTCAACTGTGCCAGGCCAGACCAAGATGTAAAATTCACTATCAAGTTTCAAGAATTCAGCCCTAACCTCTGGGGTCTAGAATTTCAGAAGAACAAAGATTATTACATTATATGTAAGTATAATTCTATTCATTTATTTTATAGAAATTAGGATAAGCTAAATAGGTTTGTATTGATTTTTGTTTCCTTAAAATTATTATGGCAAATAATTTGGTAAGAATCCTTGCTGAACAACTGTCCACTTTTTTTTTTTTTTCAAAGAAACCTTCATTGAATTTGGGACCCCGTGCTAACAGTATTCGTTAAATATAAGTATCCAAAGAGAAAGAGCTCCTAGAATTCTTATAGTATTGAGAAATAATTGTATTATATGAATATACTCAGCATCTCTACTGACAAAACCGTTTTTAAGGACCATTGGTGAGATTTTGATAGGTAAACCTTGTGCAATGCCTTTTCTCTTCATTCATTCATCCATTCATTCACTCATTCATTCAGTATTTTTTCTGTGCCAGAGACCATGCTTAAATGCTAAGGATTCAACAGCGAACAAGCGATACAAAGTATGGTTTTCCTCATAAAGTTATCAGTCATTAGAAGATGGAGTTCATCCATTAGAAGGACAGGGATTACAGGCGAAGCATGATTGTACGTGGTTACATTAAACCAGACTCAGGAGAATAAGACAACACTTGGTTTGCTCAATGAATGACTTTGTCTTTTTCCTATGTCTATAGTAAATTGATGCCTTGTTTCAGGGATAGTTGCCGGGTATCCGTTGGGTGGAAGCTGAAGCTAACTCTTGGGGCTGTGGAGTTCTCTGATCGACACACCTTGAACACCTGCCTACTGTGTGCAATTCATGCACCGGCAGAAGGTTGGCATCATTTCCAGGGCCCCCAGTTTTGTCAGAGTAAAGTCTGGGTGACTCAGACAGCTGTTTACATCATTCAAGCAATGAACTCTTTTTTCTAAATTTCCTGAGTTTAAAATTATACTCATAACTGGATGGAGTTCTGCATTCACTCGTTACTATAGAATTCAGTTCATTTGGGAACTGCTGTCGGCTGGGCTCTCCCACCTCGTGGTGATCAGGTTGAAACTCTGGCAATCTACGAGCTGCACTTTATTTTTTAAATTATTTACTTTTATTTATTTATATATGTTTAGAGATGGTGTCTCGCTCTGTTGTCCACACTGGAGTGCAGTCGTACGATTATTGTTCCCTACAGCCTTCAACCCCTGGACTCAAGTGACCCTCTCAACCTCTCACCTCAGCCTCCTGAGTAGTCAGGACCATAGGTGCATGCCACCACTACAGCTAATTTCTTTTTTGAGACAGGGTCTCGAGATGTTGCACAGGCTGATCTTAAATTCCTGGCCTCAAGCCTAGACCTACTGAATAGCTGGGACTACAGGTATAAGCCACTGCACCCAGCTCAAGGAGCTGCATTTTAAGGCACAAGATCAATAACACACTGAATACTTACCTATTAGTACTCAATAACCTGTATTTTTTTTTTTTACAACATTAGTAATTAAAACAAAGGTGGTCATAGACACCTAATTATCTTACCTTGAATTGCCACAGAGGCTGAAAACCAACTTGATACGTGGAATAGCTTACTTATGATAAGTAACAAAGAAAAAGAGGATGTGGCGAAGTATATATTTAAATGAACAATTACAAAATGAAAATAGAGCCACTCTGAGGTAAGATAAGGTAGATGGAGTGGTAAAGTATAGAAGATAACAGGAAAATCTTTAAAAATATAAAAATAACTACTAGGGAAAATACATGGAAACTTGATGCTTTTAGGAGCAGAAGAATGCATTTCTTTTTTAAAAAGACTTTTAAAGTAAGACCTTCAAGGGACACTGAGGTTTAGCATGACATTTATAGGGAACTGGACCGGTCAGGGGAATTCATTACGAAGATGAATGACCCTGGATGGAGTGGAAGAAAGAAGATGGAGGGGGGTTACCAGGGGATGCATGGGATTAGATGTCATGACGGTGGGGAAGGCATGTCCCGAAACCTTGGATGCAGCCATGTCCACCCGTAAGCCAAGAGATTTTCTCTTTTTGCTTCTACTTATGACTTCATAAAGATTGCTTTGCAAATTCTGAGTTCCCACCAAGTCCACGTGGGATCTCAGTAAACATGAAGGGTTTAACCTTTATTGTGAAATAATATGCAAGAAATACAAATTAACAAATGGTGTCCCAGCGTCCCTTTGCTGAAGACAGTGAGTATTTAGTAACTACATTTTATCAGTAGGTGAAAGATTTGTATTCAGAAGCACAGTTCATAAGTACAATATTAATCTACGCAATAATGGCATCTCTCATTATTTTTCTTTTTCTGGAAACTCCTCATGCCATCTGAACAGGGTCACTGCAGTTAGCTGAGCTACCCTGGCCTCCAGAACTCTCCTTCAGTTATGCTTTACAGAGCAAGTATGTGGTAGCCAGAGATAAAGGAATCTTTCCTAAAGTAAAGTTGAGGCTTTCAAGTTTGAAACAACGAGGGACTATTTGAAGGCCTCTGGTTGGGAGGCTGTCACAGGACTGGGTACAGATCCCAGGGCTCAGACGTGTGTCGGGAAGTCCAGTGAGACTTTCAGCAGAGAGTTGAAAGACTTCTGCTGCATCATCATAGGCAGAGGAAGACATTTCAGATACTTGGGGAAAATGGAGAAGCGAATCTCTCACCTTTCAGGAAATGGGAAATGCAAAGAACACATTTTCAAATTGTTTTAGGAACTCGCTGGGCATGGTGGCTCTTGCCTATAATCCCAGTACTTTCGGAGGCTGAGGTGGGAGGATTGCTTGGGGTCAAGGAGTTTGAGACCAGCCTGGGCAACATAGCAAAACTTCAACTGTAAAGAAATTAAAAAAAAATTTTTTTTTTGAGGGAAAGAAAAATAGTTTCAGAAGTTAATATGGACTTTGCATTGCTTTTTCAAGCATTCCAAGGCACCAAAAACAATTAGGGGATTTTTGAAAAGTCACTACTTTGCAACCGGGCTTGGTGGCTCAGCCTATAATCCCAGCATTTTGGGAGGCCGAGGCGAGTGGAGTGCCTGAGTCCGTGAGTTTGAGACCAGTCTGGGCAACTTGGTGAGATCTTGTCTCTACAATAAATCAAAAATTAGCTGGGCGTGGTAGTGTGTGCCTGTAGTTCCAGCTACTTGGAAGGCTGAGGCAGAAGGATCACCGGAGCCCAGCAGGTCAATGCTGGGGTGGCCGTGAATATGTCACTGCACTCTAGCCTGGGCGACGGAGTGAGACTCCAACTCAGAAAAAAAAAGTCACTACTTTCCATATCAAACAAATACACACACACACAGTCATGTTCTACAGTGTCTTTTTTTCAGAAGAAGGAAAGTGTTTGAAGTCAGGAATTTTTATATCAGTACATTCATAAAACAGGGCTAGGTCACATGACAAAAAGTACCTACATTTACGAGTATATTTTTAACACTTCAAATTATTGATTCACTTTGAGACAGTAAATAATATCGGTATTCAAGTTGTTGAAATGTTTACTATATGTGTTTAATGACAAATCTGAGTGTCTAGTTGGTAAGCACCTTCACAGCTGACAGTGTTATTATCAGCATCATTATTAGGTTTTGGTTTCTTTCCATGCTTTGGAGCTCTGCTTGATTTACCTGATGGAGAATAGTCCAGATGACCTGATGGTATTGGGTAGCACCCTAGATGAAGAGCATTTCAGAAGAATTGGGGCCAGGACCCTAGATTCCTGGGTTCTAGTCCCGCTGCCCGAGCTTAGTGAGAGCCCAGCTATTTCTTTGAACTGTAATTTCTTCTCTAGAAAATACTTATAGACTTGTTGTTCTGGCTAATGATGGCAAACTCTTCCCGTTGTATACCATTTTATGGCTGGTTATACAAATCCAATATAGCATCACTTGTTAGTGTGGGTCTTCTATCAAAATGGCTGTACATTCTTTAAAGACCTTTAATCTGATTGTAGTGTGTCCCGATTTAAAATAAACTCTTCATACTTTGAGTTTTAAAAGTAAATACTAATTTTTAATTGGAAGTGAACTTTTAAACCTGAGTGTGCACTAAATTCCCTTAGGAAATGATATGACAGACTGATATTCATCCTCATTAATTCTTCTCATAGATGGTTATTTGCTTTTAACATGTGGCAAAATGATACACAGATGGTTCCCGACCTACAATGGTTAGACTCACGACTTTTTGACTTTCTTTTGGGTCTATCAGGGTATTAAATGCATTTTCAGCTTAATGCCGTTTCCATCTTACCATGGGTTTATTGAGACATAGTCCCACCTGAGTTGAGGAACCGTCTGTATATGGGTTTTCTTCTTGTTTAGAATTGACTTTTTCAAGTGATCTATTTCAGTAATTAGCCTTGCACCTAATTTGCATAATGAAATCTCCTGATCTTTAAATGATCCAAAGGTGAGGATATTACGACCATTTGGTCTGAAAAGCCCTTGTTCTTTATTACATTCAGATTCTTAAATGCTTTAAAAACATAGTAAGAAGCCAAGGATGGTGCCTCACACCTGTAATACCAGCACTTTGGGAGGCTGAGGCAGGAGAATCTCTTGGGAGGAGCCCAGGAGTTTGAGCCCAGCCTAGGCAATGTAGAGAGACCTCATCTCTACAAAAAAATCAAAAAATTAGCTGGGTATGATGGAGCACACCTCAAGTTCCAGCTACTCTGGAGGCTGAGGTGGAAGGATCACTCGAGCCCGGTAGGTGGAGGCTGTGGTAAGCCATGATAGTGCCACTATACTCCAGCTCAAGTGGCAAAGTGAGAATCCAGCTTTAAAAAAAAAAAAAAAAAAAAAAAAAAAGTAAGAGTTTGCTATAACCTATAGTTATTTTTATTGTCTCTTCTAAAATTGCCATTTTCTTTTTTAGAGCAGTTTTCGCTTTACAGCCCAATTAAGTGGGAAGCACAGGATTCTTCTGTCTCCACCCTCCCCCCCCAACACACAGACTCCCCAATGAACCTCCTGCCCCTGCGAGGTCTTTGTCACCACTGAGGACCCTGCTCCGACATGTCATTGTCACCTGATGCCTGTCGCTTATCCGAGGGCCCCTT